ACAGTCCCTAAGTTATGACTAAGTGTCATAGCTTCTGGTATTGAATCAGTCCTTCTGAAACATCCCTGTTAAAAACTCTCTCTTATTCATTTTAATTACTCATGTGATGGGGTAAATTCATTTGCTACCATTTACAGACTGGGCGCCTGAGGCTTAGAGCTGTCATTCAGTTTGCTCAAATGCATATGGAAAGCCAAAGTTTGAACCAAAGTCTGTCTGACTCCAAAGTTTAAGGTCATAATCATAGCACATTATTAAAAATCTAGGAATTATGAATACAAATGTGGGAGAAGAGACATAGGACTAGTGGCAGAATGACCAAAAAGAAGCATGATTTTATTGAGGAAATATACTACTGAACAACATAGCTAACGTGGTGTAACTCAGAAACACAATTGATTATTGTCTTTCAAAGTAGTTATCCTAGAAGGCCACTTGTTTAAGTGCATAACAATGCCTGGACCAATGTCTTTTTGGGGTAACAGCTTTGGCCTAACAGCCACATTAAAACAGACATACACAAACAGCTATATTTCTTTAGTCACCTCGATAAAACATTTAAAAAATTATCGAGGTTGAACATCCATTTTATTAAAAAGATTTAAGTCCAAATGACTTTGATGTTTCCAAAGCATTAAATTCCAGGTCAATTTTCAATGATTTGATCCAACTGATAATACGCTGAAGAATGTATGTCAGGCTCTGAAAGAGATGCCCCGTCTTGGTGAAATAAAAGGGCAGCTTATCAAGGTGACTGAGTACTTTGAAAGGGACAATCCTTTGTATTTATAAATTTGGTATAGTCCTACAATCAGTCACTACTTTCCAGTCCCTACCTGCCTACAGGAAGAAAATGAGGAAGAGACAATAGAAGATGCATAAGAAAGAGAACCAGAAAATGAAATTATCAGTCACCACCTGACCTTCCAGTGCTGAAATTAGCCATAATTACCCACCAGAAATTAACCTCACGAGGGGATAATGTATTTCAGTAAGTATATGGGTGGTCTCAGGCTTTTCTCTGTACACTGCCTCCTCCCCCACCAAACACAAATCTCTAAGCAAAACTCCGGCCTTATATCAGTACACATTTCCTCCTTCCTCTCTTATTCTTTCTAACTCCTGGGAAGTTCTATGCCAACTGAGGTATTCAGTTGGGGAAGACCTGAGGAAGACAATGTGGAGAATTTGCATTGAAAAGGGAAAAGATTTACTCCTGTAAGAAGGAAAAAAAAAAGGATAGAGTCAAAAGCGGAGCCTGTGGCTCTGCTTGGTGTGGCTCAGTTGACTGGAGTGTCATCCAGGACACCAAAGGGCCGGCAACTCGATTCCTGGTCAGGGCACACACCTAGGTTGCTGGTCCGATCCCCAGTCGGGGTGTGTATGACAGACAACCAAGAGATGTTTCTGTCTCACATTGATTCGATTCAATGTATCACAGCCTAGGCATCAAGTTATATTAGCTGGATAAACATTTACGTTACGGAAGGCAAATGGCTGCAAAAGGGAGGAACCGAGAATCACAGAAAATCTGCCATTGCTTTGCTAAGTTTCTTTGTACCACCTTCTCAACTGTTGTATTCAAACCCCAAATGGGAGGCACAGGGCAGCTCCCAAGTCTTTGAAACATGCCTTCTTTCTTCATCTGCCTCTTTCCTCCCATAAGGGCAGCACCCACAAGAATGCATTGTTATCTTACTCAGGACAAAAAAATTTGAGTGTTTTAGGAGTGGCCTTAAGCAAATATTAGCCTCCAGGGTTCTATGCGCAGAGTACTAGCCTTGTTGTAGGCATTTGTTGAATAAATGAGTAACCAAATGAATAAATGAAATATCTTTCACCCCACCTCCCACTGCCCGTGCGGTATGTGATGTTACAGGCAGCACCCGGCATGGAAGGACAACATATGGAAACAAGAAACTGCCCACTCCACACCTCCCCTCCGCACTCCCCCCAACAACCCCCCATACTCCCTTATCTTTCTTTTTTCAGGCAGCAGTCACTTCCTTTGAGTGCCTGGAGCCTTAAAGGGCTGATGCTCTCCCTAGAGGTTTTATGAAGGGAGTGGAAGATACTGCCTCATAAAGGATAATGGCGAGATTATCCTGGGTTATCCAGGTGAGGCCAATGAATCATAGGGTCCTTAAAGAACAAGTGAGGCAGAAGAACAGGTCAGAGTGAAGTAATATGAGAAGCACCTGACCCACTGATGCTGGTTCTGAAGACAGTGGAAGGGATCTCAAGTGATGGAATGTGCTATTTCTGGAAAATGCAAAAGCAAGAACATGGATTCTCTCCTAAAACCTATATAGGAGGAAACACAGCCCTGCTGACACCTTGATTTTAGTGAGACCTGTCTTGAACTCCTGAACTCCAGAACTGTAAGATAATAAATTTATGTTGTTTTAAGCCATCAGACCTGTGTTAATAGGAAACAGCGTCAGTGAAGAGGAAACAGAGGGTCAGTTAAATGGTGTAAAGGACTCGAGAGGCAGATAGACTGGTTTTCTCATTACTAGCCAATGGGCCTTGGAGAATTTATGTCATGTCTACCAGGCTTTGTTTTTCTCATCGCTGGACTTGGTGAACACTAGCCACCTTTAAGGCCACTTTTGATTTTAAGTGAGATCACATCTTGGAATTGACCAGCTCCAGGAGGGCCACACTGTGGGTGCTCATCACTGCTATCTCAGTTTCTCTTCTTCTTCCAACACTCCAGTCCCTGGGTGCCAGGATGCAGTGTAGGGATCACAATAAAATAAAAATAAAATAAAATAAAATGGATGTGGATAAAACAGTTAAGTCTGAGGGGTCTGGAAATGGGATGCTACACCACTGCTGCTTGAAGCATGGCCAGCTATTCTGTGCTCTACCCAGGATTTCATAAAAGAAAGGTCTGAAGGTCAATGAAAAGAAAAGAAGGGGTGGGATGTGACAAATAGGAGAACATTTGGGTGGAATAGGACAGGGGGCGGAGAAAAAGAAAACATAGGGTGGAACTCAAGATGGGAAAAAATATGGGTGGAATCTCCCTTGCAAGGGACTGCACCAATAGTCAAGAAATAAGCAAAACGTTGAAATCAGTTGTTTGTTCCTCTCTCTCTCTTTTTTTTTTTTTTTGTTCTTGTTTCTATACCACACCTCGTTTTAAGCACTGTATTAGAACTTATTCATACACAAACATTGTGAGTCACAAAGGTAGCTCATGCGTCCTGGATGGCAAGGGAATGGGGGTGCGTGTATTTACGTCACATTTCAAAGGTGAGGATGGACATTTTAAAAACACTGAAGAAATGTTCTCTTGGGAGTAATAATTGAAAACTAGTTAAACGTTATTATGTTTCTGAACCTGTTTATTTATTTATTTTCTAAGCTGATATGAGAGATTATCTATACCTACCTAGCTAGCTAGCTCTCAGATCTAGCTATCATCTCACAATGTAGGTAAGATATCTGCTACCAATGACAATGCTGTGTTCTGTAGAATGCTGCTCGAGGTACTATGAGAAATATATGAGCAGTGGAAAATGCAAACTTCTAAGGTTGAATGACAACTTATTCCCTCTCAGGCTTTGCAGCCAATGTAGATTTCATAACTACAAAGCTGTAAATGTACTGGAGTAATTTCAAGAGAGAGAACATCCAAATTGTAATAAAAATCATTGCTAGGGTTTGGATGCACTCTGTGTGCAAAAGTCTTTTTATTAAATTTTGTGAATTTGCACAACTTTGAATAAGGTTGTTTTATAGTAAGGTCAAATCTATTCCTACAACACGTTACATTCAGAAATAAGTAGATTTTAACCCATATTTTTGGTTTATTAAGTTGTGTTAAAGAAGTCACAGGAAAAACTCACAAACCATTCTTTCTTTAAAGGAATATTTATAAACTACAAAGTGGCCTGCTGTGTAATATATCTAGCTTCCAATTATATCAGAAGATTATTTCCCTGACTTTGTCAAGTCAACCTAAAACTGAGTTAAAGATCACTTAGAGACTTTGGCTGTTGAGATTCTTCAATGCTCTTCAAAGGAAAAGGTAGTCTTCTAAAGTGACCATGACATGTTTACGTAAATGTTTTCCCCAAAGTTTTACTGTATAATTTAACTTGAGAGCATATGGGTAAACACAGACCTGCAGCAATTTTAGGAAGTAATTTACAATTTCCCATTTCCTCTGATTTTGGAAAGCCCTTTAAAATATACAGAATCTGCTGCAATTTCTCGTAACACCAGTTTTTCTAAAGGCTTCACAGCTCAGATTACCAATAGCTCTGATAAGTGAGTTTACTCATGGGCTCGAGAATCTTAGGGAAAAATAGACAATTCACCGTGTCCTTCTCCCTTCTGCCCTTTGCTCCACTGTCCCCAAATAACTTCACAACCAAGTTTACAGATCAAAAGGCTTTTTCTAGGAATACTCACAAACTTCTACTGAAATATGTGGAGTCTTTCAGAAAAGTCAACATTTGCTTAGTGTTAAAGAGCTTTAAGTTTGAACCAGTAGTGAGATCAGCAGGTTTATCTAACCCTGAAAAACAGCCTAACTAGCTGATCTATGCAGGTATTCATCTTTCTCCCGCAAAGAGCCTGGCTGGCAGCAGTCAAAACCAAAGTGGGAACTAATAAAAATGAAAACTGTGGTAGCAAAATACACTTATGAGGTTAATTTGACGTATTGCAAAAATTTGGGAGGTTACAGTGGTTTCTATATAACCACAGTACTGATTTAGAAAAACCCCAGGGAAACAGCTGCATTTTGATATATAACTTGCCTTGCTTGCATAGGAAACCCTGGATTTTCAGGGTGTATATTTTGAGATGCTAAAATTTAAACATTAGATGGGGAACATTGTATTCATCTCGTATTGGGAAATAACAGGATAATAAAACCTGTAGAAGTTTACACTTACACATTAGGCGAAGGATGAGAAAAAGGAGAGTCAGTTCTGCTGACCTATTAAGAAAATTGTGGTTGTACTATTGGATTCAATGATTACCTGTGAATGTCTCCATTTCTGGCATTTGGTAGCAACCGGCTTAGGCAAGCCTGGCAAAATGTTCTCCAGCTGCTGGAAGATTAACTCCTGCACATCCTCAATGCTGTGTTCCAAGTATGTAACTCCAAATGCAACGGTGGTGTGAATCACAAGGGAAGGCCCGACTGCTGATGATGCTAGTATTAAGAGGAACATAAAGATACATCTTAAAGTGGGTAACATGGAAGGGTCTCTCAGCATTTCAATCCGGGTTTAAGAATTGATTACAATAAACAGACAATAAATGGAGGGGAAACAGATTCTAATCTTTGAAGCATAAAGCTAAGCTATTTCTGAAATTCAAAATCAAGCTTCTCTGAAGAGGAGGAGAAATTAAAGATGTATTTTAGAGACTACCTTTCTAGGTCTTGCTAAACAATGGGAAGGGAGGGTGCCTAATACGTACTGCCTTGGGTATAATTAAATTTACTTGTATGTTCGCCTCCTCTCATCCGCTAAATTATAAACTCTTCAGGGCAGGAGCCATTTCTTATATATAGCCTCTATTCTCCTTAAACTCTAAGAACAAAGCAGATGTTCAAAAAATACTTATTCATTTTTTGTTAAATTACAAAATTTGTTGAATTTATTAAATGCTAGACTAAAATATCTTTACCATTTTCAAAAAAAAAATCAGGCTTCTCTAAAAACAGGCTTGATCTTCTAATATTCTCCTTTATCTTTTAAGTAGCTTTGAAAACAAAAGTCTGCCTCACTTATAACATGGAGTTACTTTCCATTTTTGTTTGCCATTGAATTTTTTTTTTGCTATATTTCACAATTACAAATAATATGTGTCTGCTTTGTATCTTTCGCTCTTTAGGAGAATATAGGAAAATCAAATAAAATTCAAAGTTGAAAGCAAAGTGACTGAGGCATTTATAAAATACAGACTTGGAAGGAATGTTAACAAGAGTTTGCCTGCTTTTCTTGTTTGCTTGAATCATGCAGAGGAGAAAGTTGAGGGAAAACAATAATAGATCTGAAATGCATGAAATAGTATGAAATTGGTGCTCCTCCCTGCTAAGAAAAATAACATTAAAGCTTGTAAGGTACTGACAGGGGTTGGCAAACCTGACTGTGAAAATTCTTTAATTTGGGATTCTTAAAGACAATGATCTATTTGAGGCAGGTTTGTACAATTTTACACAGAAAAAAACTGAACATAAGCCACCTAACCTCTTTGCACTTGAAGGGTTTTTTTTGGAATTTACATAAAATCAGAATGTTAGGTCTGTATTAAATAACATAAGACACATGAAGTGCTCTGCAGTTTCTGGCACAGAGAAGGTGCTTCATAAATGTAAACTGTGGGAATAGAAACAATAAATCTGATGTATACAAGGGGAAAGTTCCCTTAGTATTGCTCAAATGATAGGTGTGAGGTTTTTGTTTTGTAAAAGTACTTCATTTTTCCATTGCTCTCTGCTCAGAGAAGCCTGGATTATGAATTTTACACAAAAGCACAAGGGAAGAGCATCCCAAAATTCTGTGCGCATTTTAAATAAAGTGAGTGCTCCCAAAAGTTTTATTTGCGTGAGGTGGGAGACTGGACTTCAGAGTATATTCAGCGAATGCAATAGTAAGGGAATTGTCCACTGTTTTCACAGCAGCTGGAACGACTTGAAAGAGGAAATCAGGGGACCATCTCTGAATGTTCAAGGTTTATCCTGTCAGTGTAGACCGTACATGTACCACACAGAAGGAAGGGCCAAGGAGTGCAAAATCTCAAATTCTTCCACCGAATCCCACTACAGTGTAACCTATTGCATTTTGCCACAGGGAGTTATTGATGCTACCAGTTAATAAATTCAGGGAGGCTTGTTCACAGCAAGGGGGTGTCAATACCACCATTCTCCCACGAGGTACCAAATCTTCCCAGAGACAGCAAAAGCTACTGGGTCAGCAATCTGCAGCGGGAGAGCTGGGGTTCTGAGTTGACTTATCTATGGCAGGCTTCGGAGGAAAATGAATGCTATCTGTGTGCTGAAAGTCGAGAGGTTGCACTGACCCAGCCATTTGTTCTAGGGGGAACTCATAAAATTACTAAGGGCAGTGATGGTGCGTTGCCAGGTTTCTCTCATTTACATTAGCCATCCACTCCAAGGAGAGCAATAAAAAAGGAAATTTAAGACCCAAAATGAGACAGTTCTTGCATAACAATGAGAGAACAACCTGGCTACTTGTTTTTATTGGAATCAGACACATTTTTTTGAGCATTTAGATTAAAAACTGAATAGCTGCAACCTAAAACAGTAAGTTTTAAGAGAAAGCTCCCCCACCTTCCAAATTAAAGGGTATTTTTAGAAGTGAAAGTTCAAAAATACAAACAGCCAACCAGAGTTTAAATGTGACCAAGATTTGGAAATAGAACATTATAAAAAGCCACAAATATGCTAATAGGACTCAGAGCATAAATTCAGTGTAATCATTCCTTGGTCACTGAGAAGGTAATGATGTTATCTTCTCTTCTTTATTCAGTTTAACAAGCACGGCACTTCGCTTTTGGCATTTTACATGTAAAGTTCACAGTAAGTTGACAACTATTTCTGTATGTTGGGAGGTGAATGGCTTTAGTCAGTAGATATTTGAATCCTTGCATCCTTAATAGCTCTGTGGTCTTAGACAATTTAATCTCTCAGGCTTTGCTTTCTTCTATGAATTAAAAGGGAACAATACAATTTACCTTATAAGACTGTCATGAGGATTCAACATGAGGACACATAAAAGCCTTTCGTCAAATATAAAGTGCTCTACAAACATGAGGCATTCATAGATAACATTCTTCTTCTTCTTCTTTTTTTTGAACGTCTATGATGTAGTTAGAGCAGTTTTAGAAAGGAGATGGATGATCCTATCAATACCCCAGGAACAGTATCAAACTCTTCTTGGGTATTGGCACAGAAGTCTTTGTGTTTGTTTTTTATTGTGGTAAAGTGTACATAGCATAAAATTTGCCATTTCAACCTATTTGAAGTGTGCAGTTCTCTGGCATTAAGCACATTCACACTGTCCTGCAACCGCCACCACCATCCATGCCCAGAACTTTGCCTTCCCAAACCGGTACTCCGTATCCGATCAACACCAGCCTCTCCCACTGCCCTTCCCCCAGCCTCTTTCAACCACCGTTCTATTTCTGTCTCTATGAATTTAACTCTTCTAGATGCCTCATATAAATGGAACCATACACTATTTGTCCTTTTGTGACTGGCCTATTTCACTTAGTCTGATGTTTTCAAGGTTAATCTATGTTGTGGCACGTGTCAATTTCCTTTCTTTTTATGACCACATGATATTCCATTGTATGAATATACCACACCTTGGTGATGCATTCACCCATAGAAGCAACTTGGGTTGCTTTGACCTTTTGGCTATTGTGAATAATGCTACTATAAACATGGGTGTACAAACATCTATCTGAATCCCTGCTTTCCCTTCTTTTAGGTATGTAGTCAGCCCTGAAATTGCTCAATCATATGGTCATTCTATGCTTAAATTTTTGACGAATAACCTTAATCTTTTCCACAGTGGTTGCATCACTTTTTCATTCCAACCAGCCAAGCACAAAGGGTCTAATTTCTCCACATCCTTGCCAACACTTATTACTTTATTTTTTAGAATAGCCATCCTGATCAGTATGAAGCGGGGACAGAGTTTTTAGGTTACGATTTTTGATGGGGGTCCAAACAATGAAAGTTGATGATACAATAGCAGCAGCCCTGGCTGTAACAGCAGCATTATCACCTCTGTTAATAGGACACTGAGATACAGAAGACTCTCACCTGAAATACAATGAAAAGCTACAGACGTTACCTATTTATCCAAACTGAAACTGAAATTTATTTTAAAATAAGTACATTAGGTGCCTCAGATCCATGGTCATATGAGTCGTAATTATACACATTAACAAGTTAAACTTGCTTGTGTGTGCCACGTGCCATTGAGTCAGCTCCGGCTCCTGGTGTGAGGTTCACAACGTCCTGTCCTCAGCAGCAGCCTTCTCAAGCCCCTGTAGATTCATGACTATGGCTTCTTTTATGGAGTCAGCCCATCTCATATTTGGTCTTCCTCTTTTCCTGCTGCCTCCTCGTTTTTCATCTCTACTGTCTTTTCCAAAGAACCCTGCCTTCTCATGATGTGCCTGAGGTAGGACAGCTTTAGTTTTGTCATTTTTGCCTCCAGCGAGGTTTCAGGTTTAATGTGCTCTAGGACCCACATGTTCTTCTTTCCGGTGGTTCAGGGTCTCTGGAGAGCTTGTTGACAGCACAATATTTCGAATCAATCAGTTTTCTTCCTGTCAGCCTTTTTTACTCTCCAGCTTTTGTATCTGTTCATAGCAATTGGGAACACAAGGGTGTGGATGATCATAACCTTGGTTTTTAATGACGCATCTTTGTTCTTTGTAATCATTCCTAATTCTTGCATCACTGTCCTTTCGAGTCAGCTTTTTCTTATTTCCTTAGTTCAGTCTCCATTTGATTTAATGATCAAAATTGCTAGTTAGAGACAAATATTGCTAGACTGGGTCAAGAAAATAACATTTATTTATATGCTGCTTACAATAAAATACATTTTTAAAACAAATCCTAACTCAATTATGTGAAGTGAGAGAATGTGATCTATAGGATACTTTAAGCTTTGTTAAATGGCTTCATACATAGTCAGTTTTCAAGTGTTACGTGTGTGTGAATATAATTTTTTAGATGTTGAATTAACATTTAAAGTCCATTGGAGCAATTTCATTAGTTGCATGGTTCTAAATCAACTAAATACTCATGAATGTTTTGTATGCTTGATCAATTACTGAAAATGTTTGCTTTATATTGAAACTATGTTATTAGTTTCCTGCTATTTCCTGATACCTTTTAAGAGTATGTTATGAATATCTTTCATTTAGAAATGCCTTTAACCTTAAAGTTTATTTCTGCTTTCTATTTGTTTCACTTTTTTCAAAATTTCTTTTTTCTTTTTAAAATTTTGCCTTCTTTTTGATTAAACTACTTTTACCCCTTGTTCCCTTCTTCCCCTTAACTAGTCTGGAAGTTATACAGTTTACTTCTATTTTTAGGGATTACCCGTAGGTTTAATTATCTGTATAAAGTCAAAAGGTATCACGTTTATCCTTCTCCTGCATAAT